GTTTATTTTGCTAATATCACCAATTACATACAGAAATGCAGTGTTTTATACGAAATTGTCCATCCAAGACGCGAACAGGTTTCATTGCGTGTGCTCACTGGAGTGGGAAGCCGGAAGGGCCCCAGGCAAACTTAGCAAAGACAACGCAACAACAGTCACAACGGCGCATGCAGACCTGAAAACCGACTAAACCAATGACAGAGCGGCTAATTGATTAAACCAAGTGGCGCCCGCTCCTTTCCACGCGTGCTCGCGTCCTCTTTTGACGTGGCGTTCTTTGTCATCGTTCGAAAAACAACACCAACAACAACAAGAGCAACAACGACAACAGGAAGGGTAGTGATACATCACATACCGGTCAAATTCCGGTTCGTGAGTCCAGCATTGTTTATCCACCTTCACAACAAGAGGAACTGATTTCAATGGTTTTTTCCCTTCATTGTCTTCGTCTTCTTCCTCCTCGTCGTCGTCTGAGTGGAAAAACCTTACTCCAGCCTGCTGAAGAAAGAGACATAATTCATCGGCGGTGTGTTAAGTCAAACCGCGAGTCGTGAAACTATTTATTCCATAAAAACAAGATTGTACAGAATAAATTTAATTTGGGAGAAGAATTTTAGGGGGACGACTAAATGCATTTGGAGAAAAAAAAGGTTATGGACTGATTCTCACGGTCCCAGCTGTGTACGCAACAAAGGAAGAAATTGTATCGCCATGTGAAATGTCTTTTATAAAGATGAGCACTCACCTTTGGGCGGCTGAACACCTCATCAGCGAAAACCGGTTTGCGCTTCGACTTTTCAGCCGGCTTGACAGCAGACCGCTTGTCTTGTTCCAGCTGTTCTTCTTTCTCTGAGTCCTCGTCGTCAGAAGCACCAAGGAACTTTATTCGTGGCCGAGAATATTTCTTGGGTTCTATAGTACAAAAGAAATTTAAAGGTTCTGTTGCCAAAAGAAAGTTTGCTAGTTTAACCCATTCGCTCCTGGAGATTTTGCCGAAAAACGCGTTTTGAGGCTAGTCGAGTGGTTTTCTGGTCACTGTCGTGCTATAAAGAGCTAAAACTCACCACAAACCGGTTTACAGGTCGTTCACTTCGCGGCCTTCTGATCCAGATGCAAAATATCAGCTTGCGAAGTTCGGGCATGCGCAGAAAGGAAAATTTCTTTTACTTTTCGCTTTCTCTCCTCCCTTCTTTTTTCGCTTTTCTTGCCTCATTGTTTTTTCTCTTGCTGGGCATTTAGTAGGCTTCATTTTGGTGGGAAGAGTTTTTAGGAAAACTTTTAGGATCTTAGGATTAGGTGAAAGGAAAGGTAGGTGGGTAATGGAACAAGATTTTCATGGAGATTTTCAGGTCCTTGTCAGGTGGTTTTTCGCTTCTTTCTCCGGTGTCCTTGACTGAATTGTGCTCATTCTGGTATGGTTTGAAAGATCTCTTCACTCTGCACAAGTTAGCGAAGAAAGTTGTCCTTGACCGTTAAAACTGATGACGTCACAAAGGGTAGAAAGGACCTGGATCCTCACGGGCGGTCAGGGGCGAATGGGTCAACCAAGAATGTCAGTGTTCTCACAACTATTATATTCGGCGAAGTATCAAGTATGACAGTAAAACAAACGAACAAGAGCATTATAGTTCACGCGATTCGCAACGCAAAGTGGAACCTCGATATAACAAACCTCTTCATAACGAAGTCCTCGGTAAAACAAACAAGTTTTTTTTTTCTTCTTTTTAACCCAGTAATAGTAAAAGATATGAAAAAGAACGTCGATATAACGAAACCTCGTTATAGTAAACAAATTTTGCCAGTCCCTTGGGTTATTTCGAGGTTCCACTGTAGAACGGCAACCTACCAGTTTTAACTCCTGTTGGTGATTGCACTGGTCTCCTGACAAATGAAAAATACAATAGATAAATAACTAAATAGGAATAGCCTGAAAAACAGCCGACATTTCGGGACGCCACCACGCTGGTTTCTCTGCGAAATGAGTCTGAGGAACGAACGCAGAAATTCCATACTGATGACGCCTCACTACTCAGATCTGGGTGGAGCTTTTAATTTTGATTGGTTGAAAATTTGCTTCAGCCAATCACAACCACTACCTTGATCTGGGTAGTCACAAGTCATCAGTATGGAATTTCTCCGCTCGTTCCTCAGACATCATTTTGCGGGAAAACCCTGGTGGCATCGCGAAACGTGGGCTGTTTTCCCGAGCTACTCTGAATAGTAACTGAAACATTTAAGTAAGCAAACTGATAAATATAAAGACATTGAAAACTGAGGCATGCTTCGCTATTGAACTTAAATATTATAACAGATTAAGGACTCGTTAACAAGTCACTCAGTGGATATTTTGAAAACGAATAATTAATGGTCCAAACTACGTTTAGCGTATTCGAATCGTTTCGCCTTTTCCACAAGAAAACGCAAAGGCGATGACAATGCGTCAGCGTTCCTTATAGAGCATGCGCCGTATGACTTTATATGACATTACATTATCATAATT